TGATTTTGTTGATTTTGTTGATTTTGTTGATTTTGTTGATTTTGTTGATTTTGTTGATTTTGTTGATTTTGTTGATTCATTTCCAGATTATATTAACAAAGTTTTGGTGTTGAGATTAAATAGGAAATTGGTAATAGAATGAGAAAAGTTGTAAAGTACTTTTTGTTGCAATTGAAGTTGAAAAGTATTTTTTATTGTTGTTATTGTTGTTTGTTCTTGAGAAAGCGTTCCTTATCGTTATTCGAATAAAAAATTCTTGGGAATTTTTTTGATTACCGTTTGAATATCTGTTGCTTATATATATAGATTAGATAGAAATATATATGATGTATTTGTGTGAAATATCAAGTAAAAAAGCAAAAAAGAAAAAGGCGGGGGATTAGTTTTATAATCGATGAAAAAAAATGCTGCGACGAAGAGTACTTACTATAATAAGTAAGAAGCGGTAGAAATATATTGAATATTATATTGACTTTGACTTCAATATATACACCAATATAGAAGAGAAAGAAGCAGAGAAGATTGTTTTTATATACATCATGAAAAAATACGTTGTTTGTCGAATTTTTTTTTCTCAAAAAAAATCATCGTTTCTTATTATAACAATATAAAAGTTGAGGTAATACAAATAACGATAATAGCATATAATATAATTATATATGTAATAATATATCATATTTATATTTATATATATTTACATATAACAATAAACAAATCAAAAGATGGGTTGTATATATTATAAGACGTGTGTGTTTAAAGATGCGGTAATGATTTGTATTTGTGTCCGATCATGGTTCAACTCTTTTTTAAAAATTTATTAATAATCAGTGTGCCAAAGGTTGAGATCGAGAGGGTACGAGATTGAAATCCCAATTTGTCACGAATAGATATAGAATAGAATAATGGTTTATAATAAGTTGTTTATTTTAATGCAGACTTGTGCGATATCAATGATGATGTGACCTTTACCTCATCTAGAATGTTTATTATTCTTTAATTGAATGAGACTATATATGTGTATATATTTAATGCTTATACAAGAGTGAATTCTGGAAACAACTCAAGAGAGCTAAGAAGTTAGTCATCTTATTCACCAGATACAGATCGGCAATGAAAGCGGCAGGACATCGGTCGATTCACTTGACATATATATCCAGCTTTTTTATTTTCTTCGCGTCTCGAATCAGATTAGCATGATTGATTTTATCATTAATTGTACACCCGTCATATTATTATTAAGGTTTATTAATTATTAATTAGTTGATTCGTTTAATGCAACAATGTATTGTTTTATATTTACTTTTTTTTCTCTGCAGTATTTATTTATTTAGGCGAATCTCTTTCAATTTATAATTGTTATCCACTTTGGTTTATCTCTAGCTAAGTTATGGCAGATGGCCTTTTTCGAAAGAAAAAGCCCGTATTTGGAAAAGATTACGAAATGGTTGTGTGTTTGTGTAATGATATGTATATTTCGTTGGTTACATTCGTCTTATAATAATAATAATTATTATTATTACGTAGTTGTTGGGTTTCTTTAAGGAAGTGTAAACATAACCACTGTTGTAGAATCTAATCTTATCTTATCTATTGTATCTATTGTATAAATATAAATAATCAGTTAGTTAACTGGGGATTTCATCTTACCTTTGATTGATTTATTTTTTTTATTTTATTTATTTACTTATCGTTATTTATTTTTATTTTTTTATTTTATTTATTTACAAAGATTGGTTCGTTGAGAGTTGAATTCTCTAGATTATAAATCCCCACCTTTTTCCTTGTCAACAGGAAAATTCGAGATTAAGTATTAACACATGCTATATAATGCACAGCATATGCATACGTATATATTAAAAAAAATATGTTCATTTTGTTCTCTTTGGAAATTAACAAAATTCTTTGTTCTTTTTTCTTTGTAAATACAGTATAATTTGATAGTCAATTCTATTAATAATTATATAAAAAGGTAGAATAAGGGGTAGGGGTAGAGTTATATGAAAATTTTGTGCTGAAAATTTTACTTAGAAACTTAAAACTAACTACAAGTCACTTTCGTTATAGTGAACTCTCGATATAGTGAAGGATTTTAAATTACAGTATTATTAAACTTCAACTCGATAATAAAGTATATATAGTATTCTCTCGTTATAAGCTATAGTGAAGATTTTTTCCTCAGCCCGATGACTTCACTATAATGAGAAATCACTTGTATAATAGTAAAATTTTGAGTTATTGGGGTAGTTCATTAAAGTACATTATTATGAGAAAGCAAGTGATTTTAATAAAATGACAAATCAGAGAAAAGAATTTACTACTAACCTCACAAATTTCTATTAGATCATTGTTACCAAGACACGCCAACCATTCCACTTCACCACAAAGTCATTCGCGCCGTGTCAAATATGATACAATTGGTGAAATTCAATATCCAGAATTACGTCATATATATAATATAGCATAGCGGTAAGGAAAAATACTTTAACCGGTGGAACTCTTGACTATTTTAATAAATCGTAAAAGCGTGCATATTTCATATTTAATAATATAAATACAGTATAATTATAAATATAAATACAAAAGGTATATATATATAATGATAAAGAACGCTTTCTCAAGAAATGGAAAAATTCAAACAAGTTCTTCAGAGATTTGTGTTTCATAAAGTCATAATCATAATTATATTTATACAATACCTTTTGTGAACAAATTTCTTTTGTTTTTTATTTATCTTGTGTTAATTATTTATACTAATACAGCACTAATATATATACATTTTGACATTTCAATTAATAACTCGTCTAATAAGCTCTGCATGTTGAAAATAAAAGAATGTTCCTCTTAATTTGACCAATCTTTCATGTGTATTGGAGTTAACTCGGGGACATAATAGAAATAGTACTCTATACTACTCTAAATAATTTATGTTGCGCACGGATCAAGACCTCATTGTTTGCCTGATTTATTGGGTTGTTCTTCGGGATCAAATAACTAAACGAATTTGGTATCAATTTCGCTGAAAATTGGCATGTAGATAGCTCTTATCAAGAGCTACATTTCTTATGGGGTCAACCCACTTCAATCCTTCCTGATAACAAGACTATTTGAAATTAAAATTTCACTAATTAAAAATATTCATGTAAATCACTTATTTTTTTTTGGAATGGCATTATTAATATATTTTTTAGGCCCTTTTTTAGATTATTAGTTTTAAAATGAGTATAGGAACCAGGTACATTTAAAGGCACTAGAATTTTTTTTCGTAAAACTTTTCGTGTTTCGTTTCTTATGTGACCTACTGTATATTATTATATGCATACATGTATATCGATACGGCTTTCGAGCATAATTTCCCCAGTTTGATTATTTCATTACCAACAGATTATGTTAGCTTACCAATAAAGAATTGCAATGCCTTACTAATTAGTGACATCTTACCTTATCCGTTTGAGATAGACTCTGTTCAAATGGCAAGAAAGTTCGCTTTTAATTGTCGTGCGACTTCAATTTATAGTATTCTACAAGCTTTTATCTTTAGAAAAATAAACTAGAACAACCTTTCACTGATTTTTCTTTTGATTTTCGTTGAATGAAAGTTTTGTAATTGTTGATGCAACTTCCTTTTGAAAGTGCGTTTAAAAATTTAAATAGTTTTTAATAGAATAGATAGAATAGGCCGAATATACATTTATATTTCTTAGTTGATTAATAGAAGTATGCTGTTAAAGTTAACTCACCAATCGTTTTTGGGAATATGTGGTCAGTGTTAAAACAAGTTTCCTATATTCGTGAAGTCTACGGGACATCTGTAATTCAATAGGAGTGCGCAAAAAATTTGACAGAGATGAATAAGTGTTACTACGAAAAATCTGATGCTTAATCTTTCTTTGATTATTAATTAAAGATGTCGGGCGGGTGATTTTATATATAATTTTGTCTCCAACCCAATACCTTATCCTTATCCTGGTTTTAATTAGACATAATGAAAATTCAGAATTCAAATTTTTAAAATTCAAACCGCAACATAAGATGATTAGAGTCATCGCTAAAGTTATATTGCACAGGTTATTGTAGAATAAAATTTTGCAACATTTTTTGTTAGAACATAGCAAGTAGTTTCATAGGCAAAATTTCAAGATACAAGCTATTTTTCAAAAATAAATTAATTTTTCCGATATTGCGCACGTTTTTTGTTTGATCTACGTGCCACAATTGCGCGTTTTTTGCTCTATTAATCAGATTCTATTCTAAAAAAAATTCCACGATGATATTTGATTTTATGCAACTTGTCGTTATTATTTACCGTCGAATGAAAAAGCAAGGTAAAAAGTGTCATATGTATTCATACAAAAGATCAGCTGATGTTTATATTGGAAGTGTTCGGACCTCCAATTTTTTTAAAAGATGCGCCAACCAACAGCTATGTTGTTTGACGTATATATCATAACTTTCCACGTAATCTCCACAATATTTATTAAGAAAATAATATTTAAAATAATGTTAATAAGAATTGATAATATAATAAAAACTACAACAAGCAACAACAAATATGTCATACACACACACACACACACACACACACACACACACACACACACACACGCGTACGTTTGCTTGCTTAATTAATTCGTTTGAATTAGCCGGTCACCAACCTCAAAATGTTATTTTTACTAAACAATCACTTTCTCCACAAAGCAGCTCAACACTGTAAATATAAATTACATTATTATAATAATATAATATAATATAAATATAATACATATGTTTGTTAATATAAATAATAGGCTATTATATTATAATCTATAATATTATAATATAATACCCCACACAAACTACAACCAAAACTACAACAAACACACCCAATCACTATAATATATCCCCATGCCACGTTTAAAATACGTCATCTAATCTATTTTTTTTGATCACCCTTTGATTTTTTTTCTGTAGTAAATTCGAATATCGAGTCGATAATATATAAAAATTATATAATCAAGAATAATAATAAATATCTATAATACACATATATTCATAGTATAATATCAATAAGAACTATGACATACAGTTTATACATAAAAATATTATCTTAAAGAAATGTTTGGACCGCCAACTTTTTTTTCAAAAGAAACACCAACATCTAAAAAAACCAACACACCCCGGCAACGGCCATGTTGTTTGACAGTTTTAATTAAATAATAAAAAAATATAATATATATAATATAATACCCACACCAAAACTACAACAAACACATACAATCACTCTAAATATATCCCCGTGCCACGTTTAAAGACAGTCATCTAGTCCATTTTTTGATTTTTTAGAACATTCATAATCACCCATATTTCCACTTTGATTTTTTTCTGTTCTTTACCCACCACATTCTTTATTCTTCCCTCTCGTCTCCTTTCCGTCTCACTTTTCAACCTTTATTAGTCATTATGATCATATAGATCTTTTCTTAAAAAATATAAATACCCACCTTTTTCCTTGCTAGTTTTGTTAGTTTGTTATAAATTCTTCCCTTTATTTTTCTATACAAGTTATTCCCGTTACAGAGAATTCTTGATATTGAACTCGCAAAAAAGTGTATAAAAATTCCTCAAATCAAAAAAAAAAACTTAATTTCATAATTCCACAAAGGAAAAGAATCAATTTTCTCCCATCTCGACATCTCGATATAGTGAACTTTTTCTAATAACTCAGACGCATCCATAAGAAGTTAACTGTAATTATTTCTTCAACCTATTATGGATCAATCACAAAGATCATGGCAATTACTACAACCATTACCACAAGCACAACAAAATTCACTGGCACAAGCGGGGCCTGTTAACATGGCGCAAGACTTTATAAATGGGGCTACAAATCTTTTTAATAATTCTATATCGAATATAAATAATGACAATAATATTGTGGATGTACAGTCGCCACAGAAAGTAACACCCGATTTTTTTAAAAAATAAAATTTCGGATTTATTTTATTTCTGTCTTATGAATATAAAAATATTTTTTTATCACTAGCTAATACATTATTAGCTCTTCATATGGCTCTAATATCGCTTTGATTTCTCAAGACATTGAGCCTACAACCTCCTAAAAAGCCAACACATCGAATTTCCTTCAGAGTAGTCTTGAACTTTTACGTGATCCTTGAGAAGCTTTTACATTTTAGAATATTGTTCCTCAATGACTTGGGGACATTTCTATGAAGTTTGGGTCATGAGAACATAATATTCATTGATTTCACTATTTGATTCTATTCATGGCTTCTTTCCCTAATGTAGATCAAATTTTATTTTTTTGAAACATCATGCTCTCTCAAATCAATGAACAAATTATATTATGAAAAGGGTCCAAATTACCTTAGAGAATCTTCAGATAAGATTTTGCATGAATTTTTTATTACCAATGTTGTGAAATGGCTCAGGATGTCTTTTTTTGCTTCTTGTATAGATGCATTTTTTTTCTTGATTTTTAAAAGCCTACGGTCTCCCAGACAGTGAAAAATTTTTGTTTTCCTATCTCTTTTGTACTTGGCAAGAGACCATTACACTATCATCGGGTTACAACACATTTTTTTGATTTGAGAGAACAACTTGATCTACATTAGGGAAAAAAATGAAATAAATTCAAATAGAGTAAATCAGCGCCAAGCAAACTGCAATGAGCAAATTATATTATGAAAGGGATCAAATTACCTTAGAGAATCTTCAGGTAAGTTTTTGCACAGATTTTTTATTACCAATGTCATGAAATGACTCGGGATGTCTTTTTTAGTTTCTTGCATACATGCATTTTTTTCTTGATCATTATGAGCTTATGGTCTCTCAGACAGTGGTAAATTTTTGTTTTTCCTGTTTCTTTTGTACTTGACAAGAGACAATTATACTCTAACCGGGTTACGCCACATTTTTCTTGCAACTTGCTTGACACTCATAACTTCATAAAAATTACTATTTTTATCCTTGTCAAAGATGGCCTACTGGTACGACAGGTATCATATTTACACCTAAAAATTTTCATCTAGTGTATTTTTTAAAAGTAAAAGAAGAAAATAATAAAAAAAAATTAGGATCAACAATAACAGGCGCTTTTGCAACTTTGCTCGGTGAACATCTGCCTTGTCGATTTTTCCTTATGGTCATTATTGTTGTTACATGTATTATCAATTGTACCAGAAGATGAACTTGGTGGAAAATCTTTTATTCCCCCAACGTTAGATAATTGTTGTTGTCGGTGAATTGGCAGCATTTTAATCAGTGATTTGTTTTATGACCAACGAGCTGGTAAAAACAAATATTTTTTATCCACATCTTTGACTATTTATGTGTGAGCGTTTCCGCATCGATATCAACGCTGATCTATATATGATACCGATACAAAAATTCAAAAATCAAAAATTTTTGCCTATGAAACTTAGGATGTGAGAGATATATGCTCAACCTTTAATTCCAGTTTTCATATGG